ACCAGGGATCCAATGCACTAAATTGCCAGTGAGCGAGGCAACTGAAACAAAAAGGGGAGAATCAGGGTATCGATGACCCATTCCTGCTTGTTATGTTTTAAGATCCACGAGGAACTGTTTTTTGGTAGGTTAGCAGGACTTGAAACTTTCATGATGCTATATTTTCTGGTGGAGCCATAGTGCCATAGCGGTTATACATTGGTCTGGGAACTGTGTGGTTGGCAGTTTGAAACCACCAGAAGCGCCAAGGGAGAAAAACTGGGCTTTCTACTCCTGTAAATAAATAGTGACAGTCCTGGAAACCCACAGGAGTTGCTATGAGTCTGCAATGATTTAATGACAGAGAATTTTGTTTATATACATGTATATCTATACGCACACACACACACACAACATATATATATGTATCCCTCCCAAACTCTGGAATTTGTTCCCCAAATTATGTATTTATTTATTTACAAAACAACATTATTACCTTCTAAGTACTCTCCCTTCAGTGAATACATTTGTCAAATCTGTGATTCCATTCTTGGAAATATTTTTCAAACTCATCTGTTTGGATGACTGACAGTACTTTCCTCATTTTTCTCTGCACCTCACCTATTGTTGTCAAATCACTGTCCTTTCATGTCCCTCTTCATTCACAGAAACAAAAAGAAGTTGCACAGAGTGAGGGCAGGTGAGTCAGGTGCAGGGGGCAATAGAGGCATGCTGTTTTGTTTTTTTTTGCCAGACACTGAAATACTGAGATGGCTGTGTGAGCACAGGTGCATTGTCGGGGTGGCAAAACCCACAATTTTGGCTAGCCCAAATGGTGGCAAAACCAGTCCCCATCTGCCACAAATCAGGCCTTTTATGTTGCACACTGTTACACAATCTTTTCAGAACCTCTAAATAAAAGGCTTGATTAACAGTCTGACCTGGTGGAACGAACTCCAAGTGCTCTATCCCCCTCACATCAAAAGAACCAAAACCCAAAACACGAAAACAAATGAGCATCATCTTGATCTTTGATTTCACTTGATGAGCTCTTTTGGGGGTGAGGGGGTGATGGTGTCTTCCACTGGCTCGATTAGTGTTTGTTTTGGGGGTTGTAAGAATGGCACCATGCCTCATCACCAGTAATGACCTTGGAAAGAAAGTCTGGGTGGCTTCTGACGTGTTCTTTCAAAGCACGGCATGTTTTCAGTCGATGCTCTTTTTCCTGGTCTGTCAGAACCCGAGACACAAATTTCAGTGATCCTTCTTATTCCCAAATCTTCCATTAAAATCGGCCCAACCGAGCTCCAAGATAGTCCAGATAACATCCTCATCTCCTCAATGGTCCATCGTCGGTCTTTGAGCACAGTGCATGAATTTTGTCAACATTTTCTTCCATTCGGGAAGCTGACTGACATCCAGAATGAAGTTTGTCATCAATCAACAGTTCACCTTTTTTGAAACGTGAAAACCATTCATACACTTGATTTCTTCCCATAGTGCTGTCCTTGTAAGCGGTGTTCAACATCCATTTTGGCAATGAGTGACTGTACAGGAAAGAGAAGGCTTATTCCTGAGTGAGTTCTGAAAGAGGAAGGTTAATATTTGCAGGATGATGCCATGCAATATGGTTGTGCTTTTAACAATACTCTCCCTTTACATAAGAATCAATTAGAAAGTTTGAAGCAAATGTAGAGCACAGTCTAATATATTTATTACTTTTTTGCAATACAGCAGAGCTAGATATTTCTCACCCACACCACCCTGCATAATCCTTCTCTGACTGTGACTATGAAAAGAACCAGTTATCACTGTGGGCGACTCATGTGGGACCCTATTCTTTTTACAGAAGATTCCCTCTTGGTGGTCTCTCTAGCTGGGGAGCTCAAGGTCTGGGATCTGTCTTCGTCAATCAATAGCATTCAGGTAGGCTTGTCAGACTCTACTCTGTTGTTACTCTTTGAAGTGAAATCATAAAATTAGGAAGATATTACATGCTTGCTGTTAAAATTCAAATAATATTCAATCCAATACATTTACTTCCATATTTGTTCCTTTCCCCTCTTCCAGAGGAAGGCTTTGGGAACAATTGGATTGCATTCTTCTAACCTTTTGTCATTTCCCATACAAATGATTTTATCGACACATACTTAAACATTCGAACAAATTTTTAATTAAAAAAAAAGCCATGGTAGAAGAACAAATTTCCGTATCCTCATGATACAAGATCCAGTTCCTTTGAGATATGTGGAAGCAGTGACAAGATGGCTAGCCCAAATGGCTAACTGTTGTACATCACTTTTTAGTTGCTGAAAGGTTGGCGGTTTGAATCCATTTTCGTTTTATCTTTCTACTATTTTCAGAGATCGGCAACCTATTTTTATTTGCATGCTCCATACGTCACCTAGTCTTCCCACAGAATGCCGTGGAAGGATGGACTATAATGATGCTTTGCATCCATATGAATTTCCTGCACACAACCTCTTTTTCAAAAGAACTTTTAGTTTAAAAAAGATGGATACAAGAGTACTTTTCATTTGATAATAATGGTGGGATTTAAGTCAGGGATAAAAGGGCAGAGCATGTCCTCCCATGGTTGCAGAAAACCAAAATTAGTAGTATCTAGTAGTAAATGTTTTTATTCTCTTTGAAGGAAAAGCAAGATGTCTACGAAAAAGAATCCAAATCTCTTGAGTCCTTGAACTGCCAGACAATCCGGTTTTGCCCATATACAGGGAGGCTTCTGCTGGTGGTTTTTTCAAAGTGTTGGAAGGTATGATAGAATAATATGATAAGTAACAGCAATGAATAGAAATGTTATTTTTTCTTTTTCTTTTTGGGTAAAACTTTTAAAACGTTATGATTGAAATATGATCCAAATCTTTTCTAATACTTTGATTAGAACACAAATGACTACAGTCTTTGTAACTAATTTTTGTCAATTTCCATTCACTCATTCAGTGTTTTGCTTCCCTGGATCATAAATGCTTAGTAGTATATTCTAATATGTTTGCTATCAAATCATAATGATGACATGAACACATCACAAAATTATTTTCAAGAAATGCTACCTTCCTTTATTTCAGAATTAAACATAGATTGATGTTATTTTTGGAAGTTTTCTTTTTTTTCTGCATTAACACTTGTTTCTAGTGAATACACATTCTTTCATTTTAATATATCTACTGATTTCTGCAAGAAAAATAGAAAAGTTAGAATATCATAAACTGAAACTTTCTTTTCCTCCGTGTTTTATATAACTTCATCATGTAAGAAAACTAACTATATTTTCTTAGGTGTGCGATAATAATGATTTTTTGAGACAGCATTTAAAGTATATCATGATAACTAAGGATTTCTGTTGTATACATGTTTTGTATATTATATTGTCAGATGTTAAACTTGGACTGCCAGTATGAAAACAAATAGAAATATACAGAAATTTAGGAATTTTTTGTCCTATGTACTTAACAGATGCATTCTAAAATGGTCCAGCCAAATATGGTTTATCCACTGAAACCTGCCATAGATAAATGTAGAAAATGTAGAAAAATTAGTACTAGTAAAATTCCACCTTGATCCAGGAATGCATTGTGATCTGGTATACTTCATAATGTTGTTGCTTTAATACTGTCATTTAAATAAATAGTCTGCAAGCATTTCTTATTTCGTTGGAAGATTCTATTACAAGCTTTTGTGAATGTGCACCATTAATTTTTGTTGTAGGTTTATGATTATTGCGATTTTTCTCTCCTGTGGACTGAAGTTAGCACACGTGGGCAGGTCTTTGCTGGTGGGGAGGTGCTTGCTGCTCACAGAATTGTCATCTGGACAGAAGATGGTCACAGTTTTATCTATCAGCTGCTGAACAGGTGGGCTCAGATGGGAGCGACATACAAAACATTCAGGTAGAAAATGAACTTTGGGAGGTTTATTATGAAAAAATCTCTGCATGCTACCCATGATCAAAAACCAGAACAAAACATCTTTGGCACTGGGAGATTTACCCTGGGCTTGGTAGGCTTCAGCCTTTGTATAAAACAGCAGGGGATGAAGGAATGAGATTAGCCATGTATAGCTTGTACAGCTGGTGCTGGTTTTTCAAAAAGTCACTTGTAATTATTACCCAACAATTTCTAACTAGAGTTTCAAAACTTGAATGGTACCATCCGGCCCTTGAAAGTCGGAGGGGGGGAAAAAAAACCCCAAACAAAAAACACACAAACGAATAAAGAACCCCAAAGTTCTAAACTTTGCTTTTTATTTCTGCCATGTAGTGGGCTTTCAAAAAGCATATACCCTGCTGATGGAAGAGTACTTAAAGAGACCATTTATCCTCATTTACTCTGCTCTACTTCTGTGCGAGAAAATAAGGTAATGCAAGAACAGAGTGACTGCCTCAAAGCGTCTTCGCTCCGTTTCCGAGATAAGTGTGGCTTTGTCTGTAACCGAATCGGCCTTGGAAAAAATGGAAGCATCCCATCAAGTTGTTAATGAGAAAATCAAATCTAATTGTTAATGGCTACTGAAGAGAAAACGGTGTCTTTGAAAAACATCACTTGTTTTTACATCTGATGAATTAGACAATGTATTTTATTGCAGGAACACTGCCCACGTTGAAAAGGACAAAGAGGGGATTAAAAATCCGAATCTCACTACCGTTATATACTTACTTTGAATGGTTAAAAACATTTATTATTTTAACTGTAAATGGCAAATACGTAGAAAAGTTACAAAAATAGGATGATGACCACTTTTATTCACTCACCCAGATACACCAATTGTTAAAGTTTTTCCATCTTTACTCTCTCTAAATATAAACCTATATGAACAAACCAGAGGGCTTCAAAAATTTGTGCAAAAATGAACTAAAAGGTACTAAAATATTCCTATAAAATTTTAAAACACATATGCATACATATACACCACTGATTCTTTTTACTGACCCTTTTGATAGGTGGTTTGACAGAATAATTGTTAACATTTTGATGTATCCATTTTTATTTTCAAGTTTTACGAAATGAAATTTTGTCCTGCCTATTTTTTTTTTCATTTTTCACCTTAGCCATGTTTGAGGTCATTTTCACATATATTTAGCTATTCTACTAAATAAACTTTCTTGTTAAAAATGTAATTGTGTTTTCTGACAGAGTTGGACAAATGCAAACTTGTTACTTGAGTATAGTATATCTCTGACACTTTTTAAAGCTTGAAAATTTTAACACTTGTTTACTTTATTTCAGTATTGTTCCACAAAGTAGTTTTGTCAGTGTTGTTTTGTTTTAATCATCAGATAATTACCCCAAAAAGAGGCCGTAGGAGAGAGGAGGAGGTTCGAGTTATTGATTGGTTAATTAAAGAAACATGAAACTTTATAGAATGATGGTTTATTTTATTAAGAAGCAGAGCTACTGGGAATGCTATAATTCAGCCATTGTCATTTAAACATATCTGTGAGATTTTTTTTTACAAAAGCTTGAGTAAGACCTGTCAGCCTGCAATTAGAGCACCATGTCACCGGTGTCCACTTTGGAATCATCACATTAGAGACGCTTTCGAAAATCTTTTGTGGTAGCAATAGAGCTTTGTTTTGCTCTTGATCACAAAATAAGTATTCTGATGGTTTACTCAGAAAGGTATTTTTAGTTATTTTTTTTAAAGCCTATCCTTTCTTCCTTTATATCCTTATTTTTCCCTAGGAGAAATGCATCAATTAAAAAAATAAACATAAAAATACTCATCTTGCTTTGTTTCAATAATGGTCAATTCATAATTTATGGTTCTTCTACCAATAGTTCTATTTTAGAGAATCACAGCTATTTCTATCTTGCAAATATGGGAAGTGCCTGGAAGCTGATGATGTGAAATTGAAAGAAGTTGATTTATTCATCTTGAAAGATGCTTGCTTTTTATTTATTTAGGAAAGAAAAGTCCGGCATTATTATTATTTTTTATACAATTTGTCAGGAGTAATCACTATAACTTTTCTTAATCTCTTTTGTGATTAGGAGTATGTAAAAGCATTGTGGACTGTTGGGAGATGAATTCCACAGAGAGATTGAGCATAAAATATGCTCTGTAAACCTGTAGTACTAACCTGATATATCAGGTTATATTATACATTTTTATATCACATTGCTACTACAGATTTGCTGCATCTGATGACCTGATGGGCGTGGGAGGACATCCTGAACAGGACTCATGAAGAGGGCAAGAGGGCATTAAGGAGACAAGGAAGAAAGAAACATCCAAGTGGATGTCATAAGACTCTGAAATTTGCCCTAATCATAGAGCAGCGAAGGCAAAAGGAAGCAATGATGACGTCACAGAACTGAACGTAAAAAGTAAAATATTATAATGAAATGTGCACATTCCTAGAGTTAGAATACGCAAAGGGAAGAACATACTCAACATATCTTAAACTTAAAAGAAAAAAAATTCAAGCCTCAAGTTGCAAGATTCAAAGATCCTAGGGGCAAAATATTGAATGATGCAGGAAGCATTAAAAAAAAAAAAAAAAAAGGAAAGAATGCACAAAACATTCCACCATTTCAGGAGGTACCATTTAAGCAAGAGCCAAGGGTGCTGAAGGAAGAAGTTTAAGCTGCACTGAAATGATTATCCAAAAACAAGGCTCCAGGAATTGATCGAGCACCAGTTAAAATGTTTCATCGAGATGATGAAGCACTGGAAGCGCTCAGTCTTCCACGCCAGGAAATTTGGAAAACAGCTATTTGGCCAACTGATTGAAAACCTCCATGTACGTACTCATTCCAAAGAACTGTGGCCCAGTAGAATGCTCAAATTATAGGACATTATCCTTGATAGCACATACAAATAAAGTTTTGCCAAAGATCATCCACTAATTGTTGCAGCAGGACGTTGACGGCAGATGCCAGAGGTTCTGGCTGGATTTTGAAGAGGATATGGGGCAAGGGATACCATTACTAATGTCAGATGGATCTTGGCTGGAAGTATGGGGTACCAGAAGGATGTTTACTCGTGCTTTATTGACAATGCCAAGACATTCAACTACGTGGATCATAGTGAAACGATGGATACTCTTGAGAAGACAGGGGCTCCAGAACCCTTCATTGTGCGTCTCTGGCACTTGTGCATAGATCAAGAGGCAGTTGTGCAAACAGAACAAGGGAGCACTACGTGGTTTAAAATTAGAAAAAGGTGTGCACCAGGCTTGCATGCTTTCACTCTACTTACTCAATACGTATACGTCAGTCATCTCACATGCAGCCGGAAGTTGTACACTGAATACGGAAGACGGAAGAAGAATTGATGGCCTATGAATTTTTGTGCCGGAGAAGCATGTAAAAGTACCATGGGTTGTCAAAAGGATAAACAAGTCTGTCTTTGAATACATGTGGTCAGAGTTCTCCTTAGAGGAAAAGAGGGCAAGATGGCATCTCCTGTGCTTTGGACGTGTCATGAGACCAGTCCCTGAGGACAGACCATCATGTTTGGTAAAGTAGAGGGACAGTGAAAAGCAGGAAGACCCTCAAGGAGATGAATGACAACAGTGGCTGCCACAGCAGGCTCAAGCATGACAACGATGGTGAGGAGGGCCCAGGACGGGGCAGCGTTCCATTCTGTTTGTAGTGCGAAGGTGGCCCTGAGTTGGAACTGACTTGTTGGCATCTACCAGCAGCATACTTTTTCAGGAAAATAAGAATGCATATAAGTAAGGCTCATTGAGGGTGTTCACAGATCAATAGAGAAAAATGACCAAACAAACAAGCAAACTAGAGTAATCAACCCCCTCATTATTGAAGATTCCAATTCATAGTAGCCCCGTGGACAGGAGAACAGCTCTCTAGGATTTCTGACACTATAAACCTTTATGGAAGCAGAGAGCCTTATTTTTCTCTCCCAGCGTGGTCAGTGGATTTTAACTGCCAGCCTTTCTGTTAGCGGCCCAAACACATCTATATCACCAGCAAGGTTCCTAGAGGAAGAACTCCATAGAGCAAAAGCTCGGTTTCTTCAGAGTTGTGTTTGTGACGCTGGGAACGTATCTGCCAATGGAGTTCTGTCAGCAGGAATGATGGCTCCCTCTTCCTTTGTCGTCTTCCCGAGGGTCTCCTTAGCATTGCATTATGGCTGGTGACTATTTGGGGCTCATGCCAGGGGAACCCTGGTGGCATAGTGGTTATACCACTTGCTGTGATCCTCAAGGTCAGTGGTTTGAAACCACCAGTCGCTCTGTGGGAGGAAGCTGGGGCTTTCTACTCTCTTTAAGATTTACAGTTTTGGAAAAAGAGGCAGTTCTAGAAGATTGCATTGACAAGGAGACAGGGAGGCTGTTTGTCTTTGTGTCTTGATGGCAGCAGTGACAGTAGTGAGAGGAGGAACTGGCCGCACCAAGGGTCTCAGGTAAGAAGTTAAACTACACTGCTGAGTTGAGAGTAGTTGAAGTAGAAAAATCTTGAGGCCCGACAATGAAAAATTTGAGTACATCAGCTAACACTAATGGTAATGACAATGATGACTGCTAACTTTTACCAAGGCTTTCTTCTGATCAGAGATACTGACACCTTACCTACTTCAGTTCCCATAAGGGTCTCATTTTGAACCTGATGTTCAGAAAGAATTCCCAAGCATTTGAATCCAAACACGTTGATCCCAGAGTCTGGTAATGGATTATTAGAGTGGGTTTCTCAGTCCAGATAAAAGATAACAAGAGTGTTTAATATTTATTGCATTATTTTAAGCACCTTATATGTATGAATTCATTAACTGGCACAACAATCCCATATAGAAATGGACAACTAGTTGCCACAGAGTCAATTCCAGCATATGACATTTTTATTAATCTCTTTACAGCAAAATGTTAAGTCAGAGGCTTAAATTAAATAACTTGCTCTTTTAATAGAGATAGTATATGGTAGTATTGAAGGATTCTCTGGGCAAAATGTGATTGCAACACTGGGCTCCAACATAAGAACAATTGTCAGGATGGCGCCTGTCTAGGCAGTCTGTTGTTTTCTGTGTGTTGGGACTAATCTGATGGCATCTAGCAACAATAACAACAACAACAACCACAAAAACTGCCAAGGATCAAAAGAAAATGGAAGGAATGCAAAAGTGTAATTGTATGGAAAAACAAACAACCAAAAAAAACTGTCAACATTCAACCATTTCAAATGGTAGCATATGATCAAGAACTGAAGGTATTGAAGTAAGAAGTCCACAGTGCACTAATAACAAGATAAAAAACCAGGTGCCAGGAACTGATGTAATACCCATTGAAGTGTTCCACCAAGCTGGGGAATTCTTGACGCACTCACTCACCTATGCCAAGAAATTTGGAAGACTGATAACTGGCCAACTGGTTGAAAGAGATCTATCATTTTACCCATTCCAAATATAGTTGATCCAACAGGATGCAGAAATTATCAAATAATACCATTAATATCGCACGAAATTTTGATGGCAAGCACACAATAGCAGTTGTAGTAGTACATCCACGTGGAGCAGCCAGACATTCAGGCTGGGTTCAGAAGAGTATTTGGAATAAGGGATACCATTGCTGCAGTACGATGGACCTCTGCCTAAACAGAGAATCCTGGAAAGATGTTTACCTGTGTTTTGTTGACTATGCAAAGCCTTTCAACAATTTGGCTCATAACAAACTGTGGATCACATGGAGAAGAATGGGAATTCCACAGCACTTCACTGGGCTCATGCGGCTCCTGGATGTGGACTAACAGGAAGCCATCGGAACAGAACAAGAGAATGCTGTGCTGTTTCAAATCAGGAAAGGTGTGCGTCAGGGTCGTATCCTCTCTTCCTTTCATTATATTTATTCAGAACCTCACACTTAATCCTCTATATGCCCAGTAAATAATGTGAGAAGCTGAGCATCTCACATGAAGGGAGTCCTGGTGTTATAGTGGTTACATGTTGGGATGCTAAATACAAGGTCATTGACTCAAAACTACCAACCATTCCATGGTAGAAAGTAGAGGCTTTCTACTCCTATTAACAGTTTTGATCTCAGGAACTCACAGTGGTAGATCTACCCTGTCCTATAGGGTTTCTGGGTTGCTATGAATTGCAATTGACTTCATGGCAGTGAAGGGTTTGTTTTTCTTTTTGACTATATGAAGCACAACATGGCTTCAGTATCGGGGGACACAATCTTGTTTGATGAAAGCCAGAAGGACTTGAAACACTTGCTGATGAAGATCAAAGGCTGCAGCCTTCGGTATTGATTGCAACTCAATAGAAAGAAAAACAAAATGCTCACAACTGGACCAATAGCATCAAGACAGATGGAGAAAGGATGGAAGCTGTTAAGGATTACAGATGGAGAAAGGATGGAAGCTGTTAAGGATTTCCTTTTGCTTGCATCCACAATCAATAGTCATGGAAGCAGCCGTCAAGAAATCAGACAACCTGCTGTCTTGGCCAAGTCTACTGCATGAGATCGTTGAAAAGTAACGAAGAACAAGGATGTTGCTTGGATGATGCGGGTATGCTTTCTCATTCACTTCATGGGCCTGCTCCTTGGATTGCTGTTATCCCCTTCTGGTTTTACCTCCCGCATTCCATTACTCTGATGCTTGCCCACTCCTTGACACCTTCACATACCTCCTTTCCAGTAGTTTCTTCTCTAATCCTGCAATTTATCTGAAAGTACCTTCACAGCCCTTACTTATGAGAATCACGAACTTTTTCCTTAGAATATCAGGGAGCACTCATTCTCCAAGAGGTAATGAATACAATAGTTAAGAATGAAGACTGGGATTGACTGCCTGAATTCAAGTCCTGATTTTACCAAGAGTGTTGTTTTTAAGATAGGCGGACAAATCAGAAATACTGTACTTGATCCAAGCTCCACTTTTCCCATTTCTATCACCTTGGACAAATCAACCAATTCTCACTGAGTTTACACGTGTATAAATGAAGGCAATGATAATACCAACTTCACAGAATGATTGTTTGGGTTATTGAACCAAACATATGCAAAGTGCCTAATAGAATGAATAATACATACATAGTTGGATACTCTGTAGACTTACTTGGAATCACCTGATAACTTTGCTTCTTATTTTCTAAAGACCTTTTTGGTCTTACATTGGAGGTTATTAAATTTAATTTAGTCGGAAATGGTGGGAAATAAATGGAAAAGTTTCTATTATGAAATCTCATGTTTCATGTCAAACTGTGACTGTCTCTGTAGTAAGATATTTTTGTTGCATAAGGAGTTAACTCTTTATTTCCGACCAGGGCCTTCCCTTTGTTATGGGATACATGGATGAAAGGAAAGAGCCTTTTTATAAGGTACTTTTCTCCGGAGAAGTCTCTGGAAGGATTACTTTGTGGCACATTCCTGATGTTCCTGTTTCAAAGTTCGATGGTTCTCCTCGAGGTAATAATTTCTAATCATGTGTCTACTGAGAGTTAGCTGACAATAAATTTAGTGTTTTCCTACGTTCCACAAAGTAGCTACGCACACGAAAAATGATCTGTCATTGTGCATTCAAATATGTTTAGTATGTTACCTAAAATGTGAAAGTTTAAAAGTATAAATATGATTCTAATAGCTCCTACATAATTATATAACCAATATAATTCAAATTAACATCAGTTTAACATAACAAATGATGTTTGGTTTAAATAAATGAATGCTGACTATATAAATATGGGATATTTGTGAGTTAAATCTTATGCATATTAAAGAATAAATAAAAAAGTATTGCTACTAAAGTTCTAGGTCACACATGCATGAAGTTAATCTAAACAAAATGTGCTTAAAGATGTCTCTGATCAGTGGATGACTGCAGACCTGGTCGCTTAGGAATACACTTTGTCTAATCTCCTTAGAGTACCTTCAACATACAGATACTTTGGATGTCTTGGGAAAACATTTTTGAAGTCAGTGCAAATATCAATTTTTTAACAGAACTTAGGCGAGCGTCTTCCCAAATCATGGAAGCTTTGTCACAAATTTATGGTTGGGCCACTCCACATAATTTATGGTTGGGCCACCCCACATAAAAAAAATGTTGGGTATTTTTTTAGAAAAGGAATCATTTTAAGGAATATTAGGAAAACCTCAAAAAAGAGCCAAGAACCCGATGACTATCAACCCTGATGAATGAAGAAACGATGGGTGAAAGCCAGAAACTGGTAGAAAAAGATGATAGGATTACAATTGAAGTTGGAATCTCCTATGGTTTGGCATTTTCAATTTTAAGCGAACACGTTAGCCCAGCATGCACTCAGTCCCATGCATGCCAAAAAACATTGTGTGAGGGCCAGTTAGGTCACAAAGTTGATCTTTTCATCAGTCCTTTAAACAAAAGTGAAGCTAATGAATATAACTTTATGGAGTGAATCCTAACCAGTTATGACTTAACGATAGGAACCCGAGAGCAAGGCCCAACCAAAACAGTGACTTCAAAAAAAGGGTCCCATGAAAGCAGGGATGTTTGAAAGCATGTGCTAAACCAGTTCCATTCAATGCAGAGAGGCCAGCTAAGAAGGTGATGGCAATGGCTTTTACATTTTTAAAATGAAGGTGTAATCTTGATCTGTTTTCTTGAAGGAGATATAACAATCATGGACTTACCATGAAAAAGTTTTAAGAAAAGTGAAAATTGCACTGGTGTGTAAAAGGCCAGAAAAATTGCATTGAGGAGTTTCTTCCATAAAGACAATGTACTTGTTCATTCTTTGAGGGTACCAAGGCCTATCCTAGGAGAATTTCTTTGGGAAACCTTATCCCTTCTATTCTGCATCCATCTACAGCCTGGATCTTGCCCCCTTCAGACTTATTTTTGTTCCCAAACTCAAAGAACATAAACAAACAAACAAACAAACAAACAAACAAACATAATTGAACCCTTCCAGAATGCCCAAACTGCCACTTTGATGTATAAATTGAAGAATTAGGAATTCTTGGAAGGATTTAGATACTTTCTAAAGTGTCTATACCCAGTTTGAAAAATAGTTGAGAAACAATCATTTTCTTCAGTTAGCGTTTTTGTTGTTGTTGCTTTGATTAAGGTTCTCTCCTTTTGTAGCAGTACTTAAAAACCTCACCTTCATAAATGTCATGTATCCTTTTTCAAAGAGCACTGGTGGGACAAATGGTTAAGTGCGTGGCTGAGAACTGAAAGTTGGTGGTTTGAGGCTGCTCTGGGTCACTAAGAGCTGACTTGAAGACACCCTGTTACTAATAGCAACTTACTTATAGCCCACTTCTTGATTGTGATGATAATTCTTGTAATTGCAAACACAAATATAAATGTTGGCACTGAGCAGTTGGCAATTGTTGAGATGATTTATCATCTGGTTATTCTAATTTGGCTTGGGTAAAAAACCTGAAATAATTAAAGTAGATATTGTAAAGAATGTGGGCTCCAAGTTGAGGACCCTCATGCTGGCTCTGTATCCCTCCTTCTCCAATCAGTGAAACATCTCTGTGGATCATCACGTAGAAGTACAGAAGGCATAGGATCTCCATGCCCCAATTGTTGGATCTCTATGCACCCATTTCTGTTGGTCAACTAGCATAACTTTCAGTGTTTCTGTCCCACATCTTTTATAAATTGTTCATAGTACAAAAAGCCAAACCTATGATTCTGACTCATAACAACACTATAGGGCAGTGTAGAACTCTTCTACAGAATTTCTGAGAGTATAAATATTTATTGGAGCCGAGAGAGCCTCATATTTCTCAGTCACAGTGCCTGGTAGATTTGAACCACCAACACTGAGGCTAGCAACGCAATGCTTAACTAAGAGGGCCTCTGGTTGTGGAGTGGTTATGCACTGAGCTGCCAACCAAAGGCCAGCAGTTCAAAACTAACAGCTGCTCCACAGGCTCTCTATTCCAGTAAACACTTACAGTCTTGGAAATCCACAGGGGTAGTCGTCCCCTGTCCTAGAGGGCCACTATGCCTCAGAATTGACTCAATAGCAGTGAGATTAATAAAAAAGAGTCTCATAAGACAATTAGAACGTATTATGATAGATGGAAAAAGCTTCTTCTTATAACCTGGATTTCAAAGTTAAAAAATGAGGCCATACTCACATCTTAAGCTGCTTGTTGGTGTGTGTCTACGGTTTCTCATGCCTGTTCTGTCTCCCAGCAGCACTAAATGTTTGTTTGTTGCCAGACTCATAGAGGTCTCTGCCCATGCTTGTGCTAGTCCAAGGTATGGGACTGAGGTTGTAACAGTTGTAACAGTCCCTTTCACATAGAATAAGATCGAGTAACGCATTTTCTTCATCTACAAATGCCACGTCTCTTACTTTCTGAACCTTGCTGAGGTCAAGTTCAAAAGCATGAGTGGTCAGCAATATAAAATGGCATTCAGCATTCTTGTGAGCTTTGTATGATTTTTTTTAGATATTCACATGGTTACCACCTGTCTTGCTAGGTGCCATCCAATTGGTCTGGCTTCTACTGACCCTATGCCTCACAGAAAGAAACACTGCCTTGTCCTGTGCCATCGGCACTGTTGTTATTTTATTTGAGCCTATTGCTGTAGCCCTTATGTCAGGAACTCCCTCTTTTTCACTGAGACGGTTCCTCTCTTTTGATGACTCTCTTGCACTAACCATGATCCTTTGTTCCAGGGACAGGTCACTCTTGAAAACAGGCCCAAATATGCGGGATGAAGTCTTAACTTCTTTGCTTCTAAAGAGCCTTCTGGCTGTACTTCCACCAAGATAGATTTGTTTTGTTCTTGCAGTCCGTGATATTTTCAGTATTCTCCACCAGTGCCATCATTCAAGTGCACCAATTGCTCTTCAGTCTTCCTTGTTCATTACCTAACTTTCACAAGCATACGAGGTGACTGAAAATGCCATGAGTTGAGTCAGGTATATCTTAGTTCTCAAGGGGATATAGATCCTCTTCAGGACTTTAAAGAAAGCTCGTGCACCAGATCCGTCCAGTGCAATGGGTTGTTTGATCTACTGCTTCCATGAGCATTGATTGAGGATCCAAGAAAGATACAATCCTTGACTCAGTCTGTTCTTCTGTTTATCTTGATGTCATTTGTATAGTGTGAGAAATTTGATTTTCTTTCCATTGAGTTGCAACCCATCCTGATGACTACAGTCTTTTTTCTTCCTTAGCAAGTGCTTCAATACCTCTTTGCTTTTAGCAAGCAAGGTTGTGTCATTTCCAGGCCGTTAATAACCTTTCCTTCAATTCTGGTGCTCCGTTCTTCCATTTATTTCTCTCTTGCAACTAAGATATATTTAGTCTTCGGTGGCATACTAAAGTAAACAGAGATGAGTCTACCATTTCACATCATTGCAAACGTTTCTCAGTCTTTTGGTTGATCTGTGTCTCAGATGAAAGAACTAATTTTTGTACAAATCAATTCTTCTGAGCTTCCAGACAGTGGGCCAGTACAATTGAGTTTTAAGAGAAGACAATGGATGGCAAGCAGGCTGTTATGATGATAGAGCAGAAGTGTTTCTATAACCCAAAGAGATGGTGCACCTTGTTACTATTTTCCATACCTATGTTGAATCAAATTAAGTGCTTTTCTTTTACAAATTGTATTAATTATTTTTTTCTCTCTTTTTAGAAATACCAATAAGTACGACCTGGACTCTTCAAGATAATTTTGATAAGCATCATTCCATGTCACAAAATATTATTGACCATCTCTCTGGGTTTAGAGAAGGCACTGGAACTGCAGTAGTCACCTCATCAGTGTACATTCCAAGTCTCGACAAACTAATATGTGGCTGTGAAGATGGGAGAATTTTCATTACACAAGGTTTACATGCTGCCAAAGCAGGACTCCTGGAAGGTGGTTCCTTATTAAGAGGTCATTGGATTTTATTTTATCCTAGTTATTTGATTTATATCATCTTCAACTTCAACAGGTTGTACTAAAGAAGATTTCAGAGGCTTAAACATTTGCTGCTAAATTTGTGCTCATGTTAATTTTAAAGTGGAGCACATGTGCACATGTAGTTTCTTCCATGAAGCAGCTGATAGATTTGTGGTTAAAAGCCCAGTGCTTAACCTGCTGTACTTTTTCATAATCTCAAGCAAGCTATGCAATGAAAAATGTGTTCTGCTCCTCTTTGATCATCCAATCCTCTAAAGGCATCCAGTTCTTCTAAAGTCAACTGCTATAAGCAATTTCTCGGTACCTATCTTGAAATTTCCTGTGCATATATGAACACATATCAGTAGCGTGTATACTTTTAACTAGGTTACAATATGGGAGCATATTCTAAACACTTCATCTAAACATCTTTTTAAAAGAATAACCGAGAGCACATTTTCTATATGCTAATTTTAAATGTTCAAATTAATCAAAATGGATCTTATAACTCTTCTATTAATGAGTGTTTTAGCTTTTTCCAGTTATTGGCTACTGGAAACATAGAAAATGTACGTTATTGTTAATTTTGAAAACATTCAGCTGAAGGACATTTTAGAAACAATTATTTTCCTCAAACCATTTTTTCAAACATTTGCCAGCTGTGTGTTCTCACAAGACAAAGAGTATCTTCCTGTTTGATTATATTTTTCTTGTTAGTAAAATGTATATGTGGTTTTGAACTTCTGTGTAAATTGTAAGAGTTAATATTTGTTACATAAAGATCATTATATTTTGTAAGGGGGAAGGAAATAGAGGAACTGGTTGAGATTTGAGGATGTGTAGAAAATATTGTGTTGCTGCATTAGAGCATAAGAGCCCTAAAGGGGTAAATACAAAATCTCCATTTAAAATAAAATCAGCTCACTGTGACTCCTATTTGAAGTAGGAGTAACTGGTATAGAGCTAAATGGCAGTGGTTAAAAGTTGTTGAAAACAGCTTAGACTGAAGTGTCTAATAATCTAGCCTTTATATCCAGAGAAGTAGAAACTTGCATTTGACTTCTAGCATAAGAGTTAGCACTCCTCACGGTCTTCCGGGGGTTAAAAGTGAGGATGTACCGGATGGAATCAAAGTCACCAAAGTAGAATAAGGATGCGTTGAGAGTAACTTTTATTGTGAAAAAGGAGAATTTGTGATCTATAATCCTCCAACAACCCTCTGCCATGAAGTTGACCCTGACTCTGAGTAAGCCTATGTAGGGTTTCCGAAGCTGTAAACTGCTATGGAAGTGGACAGTCTCATCTTTCTTCCATGGAGCCACTGGTGAATTCGTGGTTAGCAGCCCAATGCGTTACTGACTATGCCACCAGGCTGTAGAGTGGCCTATAGTCCCCTTTAGTTTTTTTAGGTTAAGCTAATGGGGAAGGAAGGTGCCATGTACTTGGTTAGAGAGGAGGGAATCAGCTGTTCGTATACCTGGTACGGTCTATAGTACAGGTACAGTACAAAATACCCGTGGGCCTACTAAATGGCTGGCACGGTGTAAGGAAATTCTGATAGTCTCTTATTTTTTCAACATCTTTTGTGATGTAATACTACTACTCTCTCAGTTTCTCAGCTTCAGTACCTGTGATTTTAGAGGGAGAAAAAGTACCCCTTGCCTATAGGGAAACATTTAGCAAATGAGGGAACTACAATAAAAGAAAGGAAGAAAACAAGAGCCACATTTCTCTAACAGTGGATCTATGCACTTAACCATGACCCTGTTTGTTTTTCACACTAAGATGCAAGTCACTTAACCTCTCTGAGCCTTCTGATAGTTATCTGGAACTAGGTAATGATTAACCATTTTCAAAGCAAACCTTCTTGTGAAGTCTTACGTTTCTTTTATACGACACATAGTCATGCTGTCTGAAAAGATAGCAGTAATATTCTGAGCTTGTATTTGGGGGGGTGCACTACATTAATTCTTTACTCTTTTGAAGCCCTGTTTGCTATTTCAGAGCACTGGAATTGTAACCTTGCTAGTGTCCTTAAATGACTCATCGACTTTGAACCTCCAGTTCTAGAACTCCAACAAAAACATGATCTGGTTTACCAGGAAGCACTTGGCTTTTGCAATGATCCAAGAGTTGGTCCTGCGTTTTAATAGTCAAGCGTGTAGTGTCAGTTCTATGGAAGTTTTTCTTAACATTGAATTCTTGTAAAAAGAAATCTCAAACATGATTTTTGGAATAAAAATAATTTTCCCTTTCTTTAATTTAATGTTTCTTGTTTTCCAGATTCCCTTTCTCACAAAGTTCTTAAAGGCCATCACCAAGGTGTTACTTCATTACTATATCCACATGGTCTCTCATCAAAATTGGACCAAAGTTGGATGGTGTCTGGGGACTGGGACTCATGCGTCATCTTGTGGGATATCTTTACTGAACAAATTTTGCATAAATTCTGCTTGGAAGCTGGCCCAGTGACTAGTCTTTCGATGTCACCAGAGAATTTCAGAGTAAGTTAAAACAAAGCAAAGCATGACAGAGAAACCTGAATGTGACATAGAGTCATGGAGCATTTAGAAAATGGAAGAAAGAAACCATATTCCCATAAAAAGAAAATGTTTTATGTTCACATGCTCACTGGATGATTTTCATATATTCCTCTCTAGTCTCTACATGCAATTTACTGTAACAATTTGTATTATACAAATAATTTAATAGCAAAGCAGAACTTTGATAAACACTTGGTTTTATATTAATGATTTCTCTCTCTTTAAGTATGTATTTCTCTTAAGGATTTACTTTTTTCTGTTTCTGTCTTAAATTTTAAAGAAATTGGCTTTTTTATTGTAACAGTAAATGGAACTCAACATAAAACATTTCATATAATACTATGTCCGTAGATTAGGAATTAATTTGTGCCTTCACCATTTGCCATTCTCATAATATGGATACATTTTAATAATCTATTTTCTTAAATGAATTTTCTGTTTGCTCATTAATTTAGTTAACATATAATGAACTTTAATACATTTAAAGAGATTCTTCTTTGTCCTGGGAAAACTGAATTGGTTTTCTTTCCTCCTGAAGCATCAAATTTAGCTCTAAGTTGAGTTGATACCTTTGTTAAGATATGAATGAAGCACTCCTGACTTTCCATTGTAAAAAAGGCACATGGTTAACATAAGTAGTTTTGTAAGTTGTTTCATTGTTTTGCAAAAATTATTTCTTCATATTAATATTATAAACGGTCCGCTCCCAAGTCAACTCAGCATTTGCTTTAAATTTTAAACCAGACTTTTGTAGTATGTCAGAAAAAACCCACTATTTCTTCACCATAAATGGTTTAAAAACAACAACAGTGAGACAAGGTTAAGTGCTAAACAAAACAAAACGAGTGAGAATATTTGGGAGGCATTGATATATGCCCCTTATTCCTGAAGTTCTTTCCCCTCTACCACCCGTCTTTTATAAATCATACTTTTCTCCAAGTTTGGGCACTCCGGTCAAGGCCTTTAACCCTATTGGACTAGGATTCCTAGGCACTACTTTCATTCACCTGCCTTTTCCTTCTTCCTCAGTTATTTAAATGTAAAGTTCAAAGCCATTTAAACTAAGATAAAAAGGAAAGTGACTGAAAGTGTAAGAGGTAATTTTTCATACGTCCGGGTCAAAGCACTGTTACTAGGCCCTACAGGACATGGACTATCGATTCAGAAGCCTAGGTTAATCTCTAATTCCCCACACCCCACCCCTCCTCCCAAAGTATCTGTTCCAGGTTAGTTTCATGTTCTAGCTTCTTTTTGCAACCTCTTTTAGTTTCACAATGTCAAATTCCTAGAAAACAGAATCTTATTGGCCCAGTATGGGTCATTAGTACATGCCCACTCCTGGCCATAGACTGGTCGTGATAGTGGTGGTGGTGGTGGTGGTGGTGGTGGTGTGTGTGTTGTTTGTAGGAGCTGTGATGGCATGGTGGATAATGCATTGGGCTGCTAAGTGCAAGGTGAGCAGTTCAAAACTACTAGCTGCTCCGTGGGAGAGACATGAGATTTCTACTCCCATAAAAAAGTTATAGTCTTGGAAGCCCACAGGGACAGTTCTCCTCTGTCCTTAAAGGGTCACTCTGAGGAGGAATGGACTCAGTGACAATGAGTTTGTTTGTTTGACTTTTTCTTGCGTGTGTGTGTGTGTGTGTGTGTGTGTGTGTGTGTGTGTTTAAGACCTCTGCTGCATATTGAACTGTTCATTGTAGAAGCTGTGGGCTGAATTAATTTTCTAAAGTAATAACGTTGGGAAGCCATTGGTCTCTGATCTCTTGGACAAGTTGGCATCCCAATCTATCACATCTGTCATTTTGTGAATTTTTAATTTTTTTTCTCTAGTCTTCTGAAAAAGCATTCAGAAAGATAGCATGCTGTCTCCCAGAGAGAGAGCTTAATGATTTGTACTGCAAGAGTCTCAAAGAACCTCAACAGATGCATGCACTAACCCTCGAAGCCCTGGTTCGGAGCCTTAGGGAAAATAGGAGCTTGGTAAGGTGGTTAGAAGAGAAGCAGGGAGCAGAAGAGATCCGTGGACACCCTCCTCCTCAAGTCGTTTAATGGTGGGGACCTGGAGACTTCCAAAAACTTCGTGGGAAAATTCCATTTTTCCAGGAACTTTTTGAAGCCCCCTCCAAATATCACTTATGGTGGGACACAGAGCTACCCTGTTAGTTTTTCTCACGTTAGGCTTAGCACAGCTTCCCCAGCAAAGGTGGTCATTGTCCTAAACTGTGCTCAAGGTGCTGGCTATGTTAAAAGCATCTTAAAGACCCTCCCTCCTGTGAGCCTATTTTTGGTCCTTGTATCTTTGAAGCTGTGCTTTCTGTTGGAACTACCTAGTGCTTACCTCTTTTAGATTGTGTCTGTACTGTGTTTCCTGCTTGAATAGAATCTGTATAGTTCTGGGAACAGCACCAAATCACATTGTGAGGCTCTAAGTGGAAAACATCATCAGCTCATGATACCCTTGGGCCTAAGCTTGAGTCTACAAATAGCTTCTTTTTGTGGCAACAAATTAGTTCTGGGGTTTATTTTATTCTGCATTATTTCCGATGTCTGCCTCCTTGCCTGAATTTGCTGATGGTCAAGTCCCTCATTTATCTGATATGTAGATCTAGCCTGGAATTCTCCACTGACTTGTATCTCTTGACCTTCCCAAGAGGTTGTTCATTGGACCCCAGTGGAGGGTCCTGCTGGAGAAAGCAGAGGGGTAACTGAGGGTTTGAACAGAGATCTTAGATGTTACTGGGAAGGAATGTCTGATTTAATCATGAAGAAAGCATTTGAATACTTACAATAAGACTGCTGTTGTTTGATTTTTTTTTTTTCCGGTCCACAGTTAAGAGGTGATCCGATAATTTGCTGTGTGTGCAGTGACCATTCGGTGGCTCTTCTCCACCTGGAGGAGAGGAGCTGTCTCCTCCTTGCCCGGAAGCACCTGTTCCCCGTGAGGACAATAAAATGGCACCCTGTGGAGAATTTTTTAATCGTTGGATGTGCAGATGACTCTGTGTATATCTGGGAAATCGAAACAGGTAAATTGAAATTTCGCTTCCGTCCATCCTTTGTACGTTTATGAGATCAAAGCCTTTGTCAGGATGGAGTTCCAGGAAGGACACGGTGTCTATTTCACTTTGCTTTCATCTTTGGTTACACTGCATTTGCTAGCTTCCAAGGAAGGCGTGTGTGGAAAATAAAACACAATGGCATAAGCCAGATCCCGACCGACTGATGATTAGCTGACAGGGCAGTGCACAGGAATGAGCCAGATATTTCTGGAAGCTATAAATAAAAACATAAGTTATCTACTTTAATTATTAACAAGAGTGAAATTTAGTGTCCTACCAGTCTCAAATGATCATTAAATTCTGCCTTCTTCAGCATACTCACCATCGCAGCAGTGTTTTGAGCTAATTGATGATCAGTAATAATGGAATATAATTAATTACAAAACTCTGAAAGGTTGAGTCAGCGAAACTGAAAACTGAGTGGCTCGGTTGAACTTTTGCTGTCATAGGGTAAAGAGTGTGCAGTTTGAATTTTAAAACTTCAAAAAGTTTTCACTGTGTAACTGAAAGTATGAGACTAACCCATATCAGGTAAATGCTGGGGAAAAACAAAAAACAAAAAAAGCACTCATTATCTCCTAGTTGATTCTGACTCACAGGATAGGGTAGAACTATCCCTGTGTGTTTCTGAGACTGTAACTCTTTACAGGAGTAGACAGCCTCCTCTTTCTTCCACAGAGCACTTGGTGGTTTCGAACTGCTGACCTTTCAGTTCGCAGCCCAACACATACCCACTAGACTCCCAGGGCTCCAAGTCAAATTCTGGGAACATCTCACAAAAGGCAAAGTAATGAATGCATGTGAGCCGGGAGTTTGCTTGAGAGTACATTTCAGTGGAACTGTTCCATGAATCTTTATTGATTCATCACTGGTGGTTTTATGGTGAGTTTTATTAATAGGCTGGATAGTTTATGATATTATAGTTTAGAGCCACCTTTCACTAAAATAATTGCTATTTTCTTTACATCTTGTGTGCATTGTTGTTGATGCTTGAAATACCAGAGGACTGAAGTTGAAGTCCATAGGATGGCTCCCAACCACGGAGGGCAACCTACTTCTGCCCTATGTTTGAACCTTTCCTTGTAGCTTTGACACACATTTGTGCTTCTTTCATCATCCGATCCTCATAGTTTCTGGGGTTGAGACGTAGAAGAGGTATCAATTCTCCATTTTAATTGATGAGGAATCTGCTACTCTGGACTTTCTCAAGAACTAACATCAGTCTTAGGTGGGTCTACAAACTGCGACCAGTCAGCCACATCTAGCCTCATGCCTATTTTTGTTATTAAAGTTTGGTTGGACACAACCATTCTTTCCTATGAGAAATTCTTTCCTATGAGAAATCAGGTTAATGTTAAAAGATTGCACAACGAATAACTTATATATCTAGTATGACGGGTGCTGTGACTCTTTGAACAATTCACATAAATTAGAGTTTTCATATTCTTAAGCTGTCATTCATAAAGGAAGGTCAATGTAATGGTTAGAGACGTAGGGTCTCAAGCCGGAGCTTGCCTCCAGGATCTGCCAGTGACCATGGTCTCGAGTAAAGCATTTAGCCTCCCTGTACTTCTTTCTGTACAATATTGAGCTTTGTTCCACTTTTTTTGCCCCGCTCTATTCAAGACCTGCTATTGGTATCCCTTTCAGAAGTTGGTAGTGGTGGCCGGGCACCATCTAGTTCTTCTTGTGTCAGAGTAGTCATGGTTCTTGTGGTCCATTAGTCCATTGATCTAATTGTGTCTATGGTTTGTAGCTTTCATCACTCATCTTTTCTCCCAAAGGAGAGACACCAATAGTTGCACCCTAGCTGGCTGTTCATTATCTTTTAAGCAGACCCCAGTTGATATTCATTAAAGCAGGATGTGGAGCGTTCTCTTTGTGGGCTATGTTATGCCAACGGACTTTGGTGTTTCCAAAGCTGTAGTCCTGAGTCCTCAGCTTCAGAAACTCATTGATTATATCTAAGGCGTTTTTCACAAATTTTCTTTCAGTGTGGTTCGCTGAATTTATGGATATATTTGCAGCAAAGGTAAATACCCATATGCAATTATCGTCTCACACCTGTATAGCCTGTATGTCTATCCATATATCTACTCATAAACCACTCTAATTGCAAGTAGGTCTACATAAAAGTATCTACCTCTCTTGCTTTTTACTTTTGCATTCCTCCCACACCTTGACTTCTGCTTATGAAATCTGAATCTGTAAAATATATGAGGGCTACCAAAAAATTCATGGACAAATTATATTGTCTTTTAATTCCATTTTCCCATGAAGAGTTTGAAGCCTCCTAATATACTTACGTATGAATATGTACAGCTGTAATGCTTCCGTTTGTGAACATGTAGTAATCTACCATTATTTTCTTAGAAAATAGGATATAAGAAGAATAAAGTAATATTTGGATCTCAGTGTTCACGATTCCCTTGTCTCATCGTGTGTCACTTCTCAGATCATGTAATTATTTTACTTATGTACGTTTTGGTGGGTGGGAAGGAAAGCAGTGATGAAAGATTACTAGTATTTCTTCAGGCTGTATTCTCGACTTCAGTTTGAAATTAGTTTACTACCCAATGTCATAAGGAAATTCTGTAGAACATTAAAAAAAATACAGAGATGCATAAAACAAAAACAGAACCTAATCTTATCCCACCATCTCAAAATAACTGCTATTAATAATTTGACCTACTTTCTGCCAGACATCTTTCGATAGCAAGAAATAAATGCTTCTGTTGGTCTTGGCAGGAAACCAAATTCAACCCAGGTGAGTCAAATGAAGCACCTTAATGAAATGATTACTTAGAAAGTTGTTGTAGGGATTAGGGTGCACACAAGGAATTGCTGGTGAGGCCGCCACCACCAGGGAAATATCACGAAGCGCTTTTCACCTTAAGACCAACGGGATAAGAGGAAGAATGAATGTTCACACAGGGGGTTCCGTATTGAGCTTCTGACCACAAGATTGGTGGTTCGAACTTAGCAACACTCTGAAGGAGACAGATGATGCTAATTGCTTCCATCTGGACTTAGAGTCTCTGAAACTTGAAGGTTGCTGTGAATCAGAATCAATTCAATGACAGTGAATGTGGGGGAGTCAAGTGCCAGCTGGATCTGATGAAGTCTGGCCTTGCCTGATAGTGTAGGTGGGACACTGCTTCTTGCAGAGCTGTGGGGCTGAAATAGGGACAGCATTAGAAGACGGTCTTTCTTCTCCTTTAGTTATTTCCGTTGGTTTAATTCCATGTTAGAGGACAATTCTAGGTGTCAGTCTTCTGATACACAGAGCAAGACACCGAGAAGGGTGGAGAAAGGATGGAGTAGATTTTGTAAAATGATCAATATCTGTAAATTGTTCATTATGGACACATCACAGTTTAATTCAGGAGTCTTCTATAGTTGGTTCTTTTTTTGCTTGTTTCTTTTTTTAAAAAATCATTTTGTTAGGGGCTCATAAAACTTTTATCCCAATCCTTTCATACATCAATTGTGTAACGCGCATTTGCACATCGTTTCTCAAAACATTTTCTCTCCAATTAAGCCTCCAGCATTAGGTCCTCATTTTCCCCCTCCCTCCCCGCTCTCCCCTCCCTCATGAGCCCTTGATAATTTATAAATTGTTATTTTGTCATATCTTGCCCTGTCCGACGTCTCCCTTCACCCACTTTTCTGTTGTCCGTCCCCCAGGGAGGAGGTCACATATAGTTCCTTGTAATTGGTTCCCTCTTTCCTACCCACTCTCCCTCTACCCTCCCTGTTTCGCCACTCATACCACTGGATAGTTGGTTCTTTACATAGCTTTTTTTGCAATATGTTTAGCACCAAATTAACAGTATGATAGTAGTTCTAAATGAAGCTGTTGATCCTTTGGTTATTTATATTAATATTTTATAAACACCCTCAACTCCACATTAGATGGAGATTACAATTGATTGTAATATTGCTAATCATTTTATCGATGTTTTTACATGTGTTTTGCAAGCACCAGGCAACTGGCTATCATTTTGGAGCTCCAGAAACATTCTTCCCCACACTCACTTCTATTGGATACGTTTGCCATTCCTTCGTCGTCTTGTGTCTGGTATTGGCTTAGCTGTGAAGTTTCTTTTAACTCTGTGGTTACAAGTTTGCTTGAAATTTAATGAACCAAGCCATTTCAGATAGCTAACATGCTTCCATCATATTTATTATAATAAATTGTGATTTCATCCTTTTCCTATAGAGATCAAGAGTATCTGAAATCAGGTGTCCATGTTTATGAATTAGTGGAAAAACAATGGTTCAGAACAGAACAAGTCGGCTGGATGAGTGTATAGAATCAGTTCACTGATATGCCTGACCCATGAATGAATGACAATATGAATGAGTGAACCAACCCAAATGTTCGCGGGCCTTAGCAGATTGAGTATGTATGGGTTCACCTTAATAGTCAGTTGTAGTGGTTCTTAGAGGGGTTTCCTGACTGTAGGCTTTTAAAGCCTCACTACAGTGTCTGCAGCTAATGGCCATGCCACATATCTCCGGGTATTTACGCAGTTTACTTCATTCCGTTTTCAGACTTCTGCTCTTTCTCTTTTCTTAGGACGATCCTCCTCATAGGCTTCGCACTCTTTTCATTGGGGAACAGATCTTAGTTCCCTCCCAGTATTCTGCCTCATAGAAAGACGTGGAGACGGAATACATTTACATTATCCACTCTTTCTACACTATAGCAATTTTGGAGCCGCTAGAGAGACAATAGGAGTTCACAGTGGGCTAGGGGCTTGGGCGACAGGATCAAGAAAGAAGAGACAGAAGAAGACCCCTAAAAGTAAAGGTAATGCATTCTTAAGGGTACCCAAAGTCTTCCTTTGTGTGAAATTAAATACATGCTGGGCAGGGTTAGGCCTCGGGCCACGCTCCCCCAGGTGTAGAAGACAGGCTGTCAGGCCTTCTCAGTTATTCACAGTGCTTGATCACAGCCGATT